GAGCGCTGTACATTCCCTCCCCCCACCTACAATCCCTGCCGGACTCTCTAACCATTAGGCCACGACTTCCCCAATCAAATCCCGAGGGAGGGAGAGTATGAGAGACCAAGACATTACCATATATGGCAAAAGACAAATGCAGGCCAGGGATTTATGATAGTTAAAATAAGAAAAGGAAAAGCAGAGTATTTCAAATCTTTCAGACGGAAACGCTGTTAAACAATGTAGAGAAATAGGTCTTATTTTGACATGGCATGATGTACATCATGGCAAAAAATGGAAGCTGATAAGACCTTGACATGCAAGTTCTGGATCTTTTCCTCAAAACGCTTTGTTCACTTTTAAATAAATCTTGAAAATCTCCTTTGCTCTAACCCAAAAACTACTGGAGAAACCATGATCTCAACAGTCATGTGTTTATAATGGTTTTTCAGTCTTGTTCAGGACATTGTAAGTTTACGCCACATACTCTTTGGACATTTGCTCTTTGTTTTTTCGTGGTATATGTTTACATTTAGATTGCAGACACTTTAATAGAAAGGGATTTGAAAATGAAGAATGGTTCATCCTGAGAAGACATGAGAAGTGCTGCAATACTGACTTACAAATATTTAGAAAGAAAGCACTAAGTAAAAAAACAGTGCAGGGCATATTTTTTTTAGTAAGTGCATTAGTAGTTGAATGGTTGTAGAAGATTAGAAGAGAGTGAGGGTCTGAGATGCTATAGGTTTGAGATTTAGTTCACATTTAAAGAAAAAAGAAAAAGAAAATAATGAACACTAACATCTCATTTTATACGGATAAAATTTGATTTCTGCTTTAAATTCACGTTTCAAATTCATATTTTTTTATGGATTACAAATCCAACATATTTCATTAAAGTAAAATACTGATATATTTAAGAACGGCAACTGAATATGCTAAAAATGCTATTTGGTCATTTTAAGTCTCTGTGTTGCAGAATGTATAGATAAAAAATTATCTTTACAAGAACACAACTGCCTTACTAATGCCTGTAAATCATTAAAAATGCTAACACATTTTCTGGCTAACACAAAACTTAAAGTTAAAAAATAATTATTCAGTTTGTAAATCTGTATTTGA